TACACAAAACAATACACACTCCTAGAAACAGTAAACATAGAGAAAATCCAACACAAAGAATATTACCTGGTTTACACACAACATATTATGACTGTATCTTCATATATTAATTGATTCATAATCTGGTTGACTGCCCAGAGAAAATCTCAACTAGATTTTCACGTACCGAGTCGAAGGAGTAGAAACGAGTGAAAACTTTGCCTCGGATCAAAGTGTTAATGAAATACCCAGTTCGACACATCTGTAAAATTTATAATAGTTTCTATCTATATGCTCTTTTTGATACAACACATTGAGGAATAGGAATCTCACTAGTTTTAGTCCCTGGCTCCACTATAAAACCGTACTGTCAATAGTTTTCATCGTATTTACGATTGGCCGGTAATTTAGGTTTTCTAGCACAATCCTTTGAAGTAGAAGAGGACGTCAGAAATCGTTTCATTGTTCAGTTTTCTTATACGAAATCAAAATTATTAATTACAACACCCACAACGAACCTGTAATGCCAAGTGGAAGTACCAGACAATCCTTTTAAAGATCCACAGGTAAAAAATGAAACACCCTTTGTTCACCAATTGTAATATCTGGGGATTCTCACGTAATATTCCCAAAGTGTTTTATTACCTAGGAATTATGAATTCCAATGTAATAGAAAAACAAAGATGTCAGGTCGTTCCCTGGGTTATGGGTATTTCGTTTTTCTAGCGACCCGTGAGCTGAGTCATGTTTGCTATTAACAGCATGTTGCTCACATCACTCAAGCGTACCACCTGAAACTTTACCGCGTACCACCGGTTGGGAACCCCTGATCTGGAGGATGAAGAAATATCGTCACAGTCCGGAATTTATGATGCACTGTTTGGAACCTTTGGTGTAGTAATGAATATTACTGGAGTTTTTTCCCAACAACAAATCGTTATTTTCAACACCTCAACACGTGTTTCGATCACCAAGTGATCATCTTCAAAGAGGAAGATTGAAACTAGAAACTAATGCGAGCTAACCCTATTTATGCTATACAGTGTCACCGATAAAGTCCGCATCAAATGGGAAACTTTTTTATTTATCGTTTTATGTGGAATTTGATTTTAACAGTAGATTTTGCTTAAGAAATGATGTCAAATGGCGTCTACAAAATAGGTCACGTGATTTCCTTAACCTGTCAAAATTGACATTTAAAAAAAGAAACATCGAAAAATGACATTATTCTTCAAAATATCCAAAAATATCAAAGGATAAAAACATTTTCTTTTGTAATTTTATACCCACACACCAAGTTTCAAACCCATAATAAGTATTTTATATTTTCACTATTTTTCCGCA